CATCTATGATCAACTACGTTACTAGAATTAGCTATTTCATTAATTAGGAATCTTTAATATACTTGATTTAGTTTCTAACTTGTAGCTAAGAGTTCGATTTATATTATTTTGCTTACTTTCTATTTCATATTTTGTATTGTTGTTGAATCTATAAAAATTCCCTTTTGTTTGCTTTTTATTCCTTATGGATTCAACCCCTCTTACTACTACTATAATATTATTTTACTAGTCAATTAGGAATTTAGTTTTGGTAGATTTAACACCAATCAATTTTTAGTGCCGTTGTCAAGGAGTTGCAATTAACTAATTATTTTTTTCTTTTTCTGACTAGGACCGATCATGGAGAACCACTTTTTACAATCTAGAGATTGAGAAAACCAAAAATCTAAGAAAATAGACCAAAGAAAATAGGCAGACACATCAAGACAACACTTTATCCCCTACACCCGAAACAGAAAACATGAAACAAAAACGTACATTGAGGGAGCTTACAGCCCACCCACAAACCAGCAGCCCCTTTGCATCACCTGCCAGATTTAGATGTTCATTTTGACTTAAAATCTAGTTTGATCCATATACTACCAAGTTTCAAGGTATAGAGAATGAAAAACCACACAAATATATTAAGAAATTCCATGTGGTCTGCTCCAGCATAAAACCCTAAGGCGTATCTGAAGACCAAATCAAGCGACGAGCATTTTCATTCTCCTTGGATGAAGTGGCCAAAGAACGGTTCTTTTACCTATATCCCGGATCAATCACGACTTCAGTGGAGATGATAAAAGCCTTTCTAGATCGCTTCTTCCTTACTTTTAGAGCTGTCGGGATAAGGAGGGGGATATGTGGATCAAGCAAGAGATTCAGAAAGTCTCTATGATTATTAAGAAAGATTCAAGCGATTGTGCATAAGTTGCCCACAACATGATATCTTAGAACAATTTCTCATTCACTATATTTATGATGGACTACTACCCACAGAAAGAAGAATGTTAGATGCAACATGTGGTTGTGCTATAGTGAACAAAACACTTCAAGAAGCTAGAGAATTGATAGCCATCATGGCCGCCACTTTGCAGTAGTTCAGAAACACGCGAGACACTTTGAGAAGGATGAATGAGGTAAATATTTCTTCTCTTGAGTCTAATATTTCACAACTAACTACTTTGGTGTGAAATATAGTTGTAGGTAATACACAACATGTTATTGTTTGTGGAAGTTGTGTGTAATTTAGATATTCTACGAACATGTATCCTACACTTTAAGAAGCTAACCAATAGCATATCTATGCCATAGGAAAAATTTCTGGTCAAACACAAAAGAGATATGGCCAATTTTCCAAACACTTATAACTTAGGATTGAGGGATCATCCTAATTTTAGTTATGGAGTAAGACAACAAAATTTCCAGCAATATCATCCAAGACTGCTCCACAACAATAACCAGCACCTCCAAAATAGGGTATGTCTCTTGAAGAAATTGTTAAATCACTTGTTACTAACACCTAATAATTTCAACAGAAAATAAGAACAAGCATTCAAAATCTGGAGATTGAAGTAAGCCAATTAGCAACATTTATGAGTAAGTTAGAATCCCAAGGCAAACTACCATCTCAAATCAAAGTTAATGCAAGAGAAAATATAAATACTATCACACCGAGAAGTGGTAAAGAGTTGGTAGAAAATATCAGTTAGGTAAGCCTTATGCAAGGCTTACAGAAAGGCACATAATTAAAAGTTACAATTGATGGCAAGACAGATGGAACAAAGCCAGATTGTGACTAGCCAACATCGTTCATAATCTCTCCACCATTTCCACAAAGATTTAAACAATTAAGGAAGGAAAAAGAAGATAAGAAGATCCTAAATTTTTTTTTACAAAATTAAGATAAACATTCCTTTACTCAATGTAATTAAGCAGGTACTTGATATGTTAAGTTTTTAAAGGAGTTGTGCACTAACAAGAAAAGACTGAGCTACAATGAAAGGGTAAGTATTGGAGAAAATATTTCAGCTATAATTCAGAAGAAACTACCCCCTAAATACAAGGACCAAAGTATGTTTATTATTTTTTATAAGATATACACTTTAAAAATGAAGAAAGCCATGTTTGATTTAGGAGCATCAATAAATGTTATGCCTTTGTCTATTTATTTAATGTTAAATGTTGGTCCATTAAATGAAATAGGTGTTGTAATTTAGCTAGCTGATAGATCAGTTTTTTATCCTTAAGGAGTTTTAAAGGATGTGCTTGTTAAAGTTGATAACCTCATTTTTCCTACTGATTTTTATGTGTTAGATATGGAAAATGATAAATCATCTAATCCCTCTAATACTTTGTTCAGAAGACCTTTTCTTAATATGACTAAGATAAAGATAGATGTACAGGATGCTGTGTTCACTATGGAAGTTAATAGAGAAATGACAAAATTTAATGTTTATGATGATATGAAGTATCCTAGTTATGTGTCTTGTATGTATGGAGTGGATACTGTAGGTCCTCTAAGTCAAAAGTATTTTGATTCAAGTCATAATGATAAGGTGAACATTGTGTTTTCTAAAAATTTTAATGTGGAAAGCTTAAAATTTTTAGAAGAGAGTTTGTTGCTGAGAAAAATCCACAAGATATGTTGTTCGAATTAGAAGCACTTAAACCTTAAAGGAACAATGCATCGTGTGCTGATCTTCCTAGTTCTGCCATAAAATTTCTACCTTCTATTTTACAGGCACCAAAATTTGAGCTCAAACTGCTGCCTGAACATTTGAAATATGTGTTCTTAGGATGATAGGAGACCCTTCTAATGATAAGTTCTAATGAGCTAAGCAGGCTATAAGAAGACAAACTGATTGAGTGCTTAAAAATTGACAATGTCCAGCCTAAGATATTAAACAAAGGTGCTTAATGAGAGGCAACTCATCCATTTTGCTTCATTCTTTTTCAATTTTCATTATTTTTATTAGTGATTTTAATTTATTTACAACAATTTTTTCTGAGTTAACATGAGTTATTTGGTGATTAAATTGTAGGGACAGAGAATTCATGTGCTGGAGTTGAAAGAAGCCAAACTCTGAAATAGCCTAACAAGCCTTGCCAAGGCTTGTGTCTGGCCCATAAGACATGATCGTATGCTTGGGAGATATGGCCGCATGCATGCCTGACATGAATGTGTGTCAATCTACACATAAGCCTTGCCCAAGGCTTGTGCCAGACCCTTAAGGCATGATCGTGTGTTACCAAAAAAGTGTTTCTGTGAGGAAACCACATCTGTATGCCTACCCAGAATGGTCGTGTCATGTCTACAAAAAGGAAAACAACGAAATTCTAAAAAAACACGATCATGTGCATGTTCGACACGACCGTGTGTCATTCCCCACATAAGCATTGCTTAAGGCTTATATCACATGACAACACATTTGGTAGTTCTCAAAATGTGATGTTTCCCGGTGCATCCCACCTCCAAGTCAAGTAACTAAAGGAGTTAATCTGTCACTTCATTTTTATTTTTCATTATTTGCTTCAGATTACAGACAATATATAGTTTAAGTGTAAGGGAGAGGCATTCTACATTCTACATTCTACATTCTGCATCTTAAGTATCTAGTTTTCCTTTTTGCCATATCATCCTAAGTACTTTGACCACAATTAAATTTTGCTATATCACACATATACCTCCAACAAATTTTGACTCCAACCTTCACAATTGCCTCTCTATTATTTTTAAACAACTCAAATGAGATATTTCAAAATATGAATCGCACTTATAATTATCTTCCAAGAACTGTAGCTTTTATTATTTTTATTTTTTCACACTATGAATAATTATCTTTGATTACATATTGAACATGACTTGTTTGAGGGTTGCCTATTAAAAAACAATTAATTTTATCTTATTTTTAGGTGAATATCAATACTTAAAAAAACTCCTCTTCAACTTGTCTAGAATCATGTGTTTTAAATAACTAAATCAAATTGGCTATCATGTGATGAGTGACATAGAGCGTCAAACGCACTCACTTTTAAAAATAGATGGAGTAAAAGTGTAAGATAAAGCGTAAAATGCACTCACAATCAAAGAAAAAAAGGGCACAAATAATACTCTATTCCTTTAGTCAAATAACCACGAGTAGCACTAGTACCCACTTAAAATTGTGACCAACTGAGTAACCGGGTGCATTCATCACGAATGTTTTCCCTCGCATCAAAAGGTCGATGACATTTTAAGCAAGCAAAAAATGCTTAAAATTTTCTATTTTTGGCATGAACCAATTACATGAATCCTTATATCTGGACAAGTTTGGTGGCTATTCTACTAGGTATTAGTTATTCTCCTCAATAAAATTTTTGTGTGCTAAATTTGCAAAACTTTCTTATGTCGTGTTTGGATGTTGTTAAAGTGGTTATCATTAGTATGGTTCCATAAAACTTAAGCCTACAAATTACTAGTTGATTGTTATTTTTGCAACTTGGGGATTGAGGTATAACAAACAGGTTGTGATGAAATAATTGGGAGTAAGTGAGTTGAAGTGAAGAGATGAGGATTGATGGAGTGTGCTGTGTAGTGCTTGAGGGGAAACACAAGATAAGTGTGGGAAATTTTGATAGTGCCTTAAAACAATATCATTATCACCCCCTTTGGGTTATTAAACTTGATGGTATACTATCTAATCCGAGTTATTTTATTGTACGACATGATATAAGGACGAAACGAGAAAAAACAACATAAAAAGAGGAAGAGTTCGTGAAAAGAGTCATTAGCCCAAAAACAAGCCTTAGGCAAAGCTTGGGTCTGACAGGCAGACAGATTAGCCTGAAGCAAGGCTAAAAGCCGTGCACAACAATAGATTTAAATTAAAAGTGCATTTTTTAAATCTAAAAAAATATATTATTTCAGCCAAGATCTGGAGCTGAAAATAAAGTGAAAAATATTTTGAAAAGCTTGGGATAAGTCAAAAATTAAGAAAAATGATCTTAATCAATAAAAGAAAAAACACTAGCTCCTCTTCTATAAAGAGGGTGGCTGCCAAGCAGGTTGATCATCATTCTTCTTCCTAAGACTGTACAAAGCTTTAATAGCAAATCCCACACTCTCTTTTCATCTTCTTCATTCTCTTTGATCATGGAAAAAAACTCGTTTATATTGAAATCTACCATGAGTAGCTAGTTTATTTCTTTTTTCCTAGTTAATAGATCTAGCAAATTCCAGCAATGTATTTGTGAGATTTAATTAAATTAATTTGAGTTTTATTTAGATCCTGCACTTATATATATTTTTTGTTTTCAATCTGTCTAAGCAGAACCCATCATATGTAGGAGAAACCACAAATAGCTAGCCGAACTCCTCAAATCCATAATCGTTTGGGTGGTTCCGACATCTAGTAGAGATCAGTGCCACAATAATGAGATAAGTAATCTAGTTGATCGGTTCACGTGGATGAATCAGATAACTTGAATTAAGTCCTTCTTGCTCTCAAGGCTGTTGACAAGTTAAATCATGTGGACATTCCCAGAACTGCTTAGCAGTGAAGAACCAACCAACGAACGTTTCTTGGTTGGTTTAAGAATAAGGAAGGATTTGCTATTGGAATGTTTCAATAACCATAACTAATTTGTCATATTTTGGATAAAACAAATCCTTGCATCTATGATCAACTATGTTATTGGAGATAGTTATTTCATTGACTATGAATTCTTCTTATAATTGATTTATGTTATTGGAGATAGTTATTTCATTGACTATGAATTCTTCTTATAATTGATTTATGTTATTGGAGATAGTTATTTCATTGACTATGAATTCTTCTTATAATTGATTTAGTTTCTAACTTATAGCCAAGAGTTCAATTTATATTACTTTTCTTATTTCTTATTTTATATTTTGCATTGATGTTAAATCTATAAAAACTCCCTTTTATTTTCTTTTTATTCGTTGGTCAATGAAGAAAATTAGTTTCCAATTCCTTGTGGATTCGATCATTCTTACTACTACTACAATATTGTTTCGCTAATTAATTAGGAATTTATATTTGGTGGATTCGACACCCATCAATACATCCATTAATGTGAGCAGGGATGACTTAAACTATTTAAGCAACCAACCAAACCAAGAAAAGAATCGGCAATAAAGAGTCCAAATTTCTATGAAACAATAAATGAGAAAATCTCCCTCACTCGTTAGAGATTTTTCCCACTCAAGAGAGATTTTTCTCTCCATATCTTTCTCAAATGGCAAAAGGGAAATAAAGATCAAGGAATTTTGGAAATCTAATTTAAGGATAATCTATTCATATCATTCCAAGTTTCCAAGTTAATATCATATCTTTGTAAAAAAAAAAAGTAAAATCAACATGTGAAAAATTAAAGGCATTGAACACAATATCATAATGGGATACTTCTTTCCAAAAGGGCATGTTAAATTAAAAAAAATTAATTCACAAGATCTTGGATAAAATTATGGACAAATTTTAGACATTTATCATAAGATCATGTACAAATTTAGTTTCTTCAGGAAAAAAAAGATCATTGTTAAATTACAATATCTTCAAAAGATCATTCCTAAATTGAGAGATCTTCAAGAGATCTCCCATATTTTAAGTCCATATCATGTTTATTCAAGAATTTTTCCAATGGATGACAATATCTCAACAATATTTGAAAGAACTCTCCTTTAATTCAAGATGGGAAACCATTTCTACATTGATTAGTATTATATTATTAATTGTGTAATTTATTATTTTCTTAAAAAAAATAATTGCAATTAATTAGAAGATTTTATTTCCTTGTATTTCACTTAGCCTGCAACTATAAATAAGCCTTAAGAATTGTAATTCAAGAATTCAAGTTTCAAAATAATAAATTTATAAAGTTCTAGTGTCAATTAATGAGGTTTTCTTCAATCTTCTTGTTGAGTGGGGAATTTGTGTGTATGTATGAAGATAACTTATGATATTTTCATCAATTTCTTTCTTAAATTGATTTTAACTTATCAAGATTTTTCTTGTGGTATTTTAATCAATTCATTTATTCATATTACCTTAGTTTCAATCATAGTTAATTGTGAGTTAAGTAGGAGGGCTTATCTAGTAATTAAGTATTTGGTGCTAATTGAAATTATGTGAGTTTTTTATCACATTGCTGATCTTGGGTGCTGCATCATCCATATTGGTAGCGGGGATCCCTGTTGCTCTCTATGATAGTGATTAAAGCATAATCGTAAGATGAAATCTTTGTGTCTAAGTGTTAAAAGTGAATATTGTAATTGTTAACTGTGACTATTAAAGTGAATACCATACTGTTAATTGTGATTATTAAAGTGAATACTATATTATAAACTGTGACTGTTAAAGTGAATACCGTATAACAAGCTATAACTGTTCAAATGAAGAACCATGACTGTTAACTGCAACTGTTATAGTATAATTGTTAAAGTGTAAGTATTAATGTGTTAAAGTGTAAATGTTGTATCTATCAAAGTATGAGTGTTAAAATGTAAAGTGTAAAAGTGTAATATGTAAGCGTTAAAATGTTAACATGTTAAGCATATCGTGTTAAATATAAAGTGTTATAATATAACGTGTACAAAGACTAGTGATAAGTGTAAAACATTTCACGTGATAAGCACTAATGTTATCTAGAATTCAAAATTCCTCTAAATATAAAAAGAATAATGAGAAATATACAAATATGCGAATTTGATTTAAGGAATAAATTATAAACAGAGATATTACAAAAACATGCTAAGTATAAAAGATTAATATTATATGATGTCAAAATTTAAAAGCTAAAATGTAAAGTTAGTGCATAGCTAGGGGCTACGTAAAATTATTTTAAGGTTTAGAAATCTAAAAATGCACGTGTAAAGGATGTACCTAAATTGAGAATAAGAGAAGGGATGGAATATGATTTAAATGAAAGACTTTAGTAACTAGGTTCGAAGAAAAAACTGTACATCTAGTTTTAAAGGATTCGTTGAAATATTTTTAGAAAACTATTTTTTAAATTGAATTATCATATTTTTGTTTGTATGTTATTTTATATCTAGAATTAGACTACTATTTCATTCTTGCTTAGCACGTGAGCTTACCCTAATTCACACATTTGTTTTAGATAAGTGAAAGAATGAGTAGAAGGATAATGAGAGGAATTGTAGATGTTGGGGTCCAATTGACATAGAAATTTTTGATGTCTAGTGCCTCATGTAGCCTTTTCATAGTATTGGCAAAATATAATGGGATGAATAGAGTGTTTTAAATTAATATTATGTATATTGATAAAAAAAATTACTGAATTCTAAGTATGCTAACATCAATGCCTTGGTAGGAGTACGAGATGTTAAAAAAATGCAGATAAAATTCACTGAAACTTCAACAAATAAAAGATCATAATTGTTGTCAAAAGCAACTTTGCATATGGAAATAAAAGATCATAATTAGTTGAAAAATACAACGTCAAATTGGTACTTTCATAAAAAATAAGTTATGACACAATAAAAATTGAGAACACAATGAATTTAAGGTGATTGTCAGATATATATATATATATATATATATGTAAGTGAGAAATAGAAGATTTGGGAAACATACTTTCATTCTTACAAATATATGTAAGAACTCTATATGA